CCATTTACAAGGAATAGAAGGTAATAGGACAGTAAAGAATGTGTATTTGTTCAAAGTCTGGCAAGTCCAGGTGAACAGGTGTATGTCTACCAGTTTCCACTTCTTTAATAATCAATCTAATATCCCACAAATTGTCATTATTTGGGGTTCACTGCTCCTCTAACTGGTCTTAAATGACGATACTTTTCCTGAAACTACACTCTGGGCCCTGGCCCAGCGAAAAGAATCTGAAGAGATGGAAAAGGCTCTTTAAATTTGTCTGTGATGATGCGTGATTACATAATCAATATTGTTGCGTCAAATTAATGTCCTCATCACCATACACATATCAGGTGGCGGTGGTCATGATGATTAAAGAAAGACTCTCAGTATTAGTCCATCTGTAATAGGGCCCATGGTCACGGGGTGCGAATGATCTTGCTTATAGAGGTGCTGTGGTCTAGTGGATAAGTCGGGGTCCGCATCTCGAGTCCCGCCGCGGCATTAAGGTTCTTTGGCAAGACATTATTCTGCACTACCACTCTCCACCCAGGTGTTAAATGGGTACCGGTAGGAAAGTATTCCTTGGATGCTGTGATATTGGAACGCCTTGAGCACCTTGCATTGTGGATATGTGCGCTATATCCAATATATTTACTATTATTCGGTGGTTTGTTATTATTATTATTATTATCATTTCCTCCTGTTTGACTCTGAACACTTCTTCTCACCATGGACCTATTACGGAATGTTACAAACAGAGTTGACAAAAGACTTAACTCCGTTTCGTTGACTATCAGCCATGCACAAAGAAGTCGAAAGACTTGATGCATGGCTGATCGTCAACGAAACGGAGTTAAAGGGCCCATGACATCGAAATACAAGTGTATTCCTGTCGGTGTGCAGTCCTACATATTATATTTTTTATATATAAACTTCTGAATTTGTTTCATAGATTTTTAAATATTTTTTGAAATACTTGTTTTTCAAACTTGCGAAAAAAACCCCCAAAACCCCCAAAACCAAAACCTCCAGATCTCATTCCCCTTGTGACATCATCTGTCAGTCATCAATGAGTTAACTTGAGAAAGTGGCATGTAACTTTGCCAAAGTTGACCACCTGTTACAATACCACAAATAATAGCAACATATAAGTTGCTATGTCAGACATGTCAGACTAAATTAATATTCTAGAATAGACAATGGTATGTAATTTCCCCAAGCTTAGCACACGTTCATAATAGAATTGCATGCTTCCATACATTATGTACAATACAACATCATTGCCTTTGTCTTCCTGGTAATGCTACAGCATGTCTGACATAGCAACTTGTATGTTGCTATTGTATTACGTATTGTAACAGGTGCTCGACTTCGGCAAAGATACATAACACTTTCTCAAGTTAGCTCATTGATGAATGACAGATGATGTCACAATGGGAATGAGATCTGGAGGTTTTTGGGGTGGAACAAAATAATTCAGAAGTTTACATATCAAAATATGAGATGTATGCGGGACTGCACACCAACAGGATTTCATTTGTATTTCGATGTCTTTTGTCAACTCTGTTTGTTGCTACGGCAGGCAGCCAGTGTTAACGAGTTGGTTTAATCAAATTATGGAAATGCAAGCTTTACTTCAAACAAACAGAACTTTGTTATTCCTGGCTTATTTTTCTTGATTGAGGTGTCATTATGAAAGGACAGAAATTGAACTTTCTAGAAATGTGATTTTCGCCTTGAAATTCAGATACCGCCCGCCAAATGACATTTTGGTTTCCTCTCTTCAAATTGTTATAATCAGTTGTGCATGAATTATGTATCATATGAGTTGCATCAAATGGAAAAGGAGGATCTAAGCTTTACAAATATGTGTCATTTATTAATCATAATTGTGATTAAGTTATGATACAACATCGATAATTCTCGGTTTCAGTTTTTTCTGGGACGCACTGTATATTGCTTTCTCTATAACGTTACAATTTCACTTTTCTTTATTTTTCTCCTTTCTCTCACTTTCTCTCTCTCTCTCTCTCTCTTTTTCTCTCTTCACCTCTTTTGATGGGGAGGGTTTTTTATCTTCTATTTTCGTCATTCGATTAGGAGGGAACGTGCCCCCTGTAGATAGGATGAAGGGTCGGAATGAAAATTACTATAAATTGCTGATTGCTTGTAAAGCACTCGTATCCACCCACTGGCAGGTGACCAAAGCGTTTTGCTACGTATTTGGTGCTCTCAGCATTCAATGAACACACACTTAACAAACTGATTTGAAAATAATTTCTTTGATTTATTTTACATTTTCATTGCAAATGAACACAATCATGATATAAAACACCAATGCATAATTACTTGTATTTATCATATTATTTACATTTTAATTGGATTGAGAAGGGCTGTGTCATTTCAATCCCGAAAGTGCGATACGTGTATTTCTGAAGGGGGGGGGGGTGATTAAATGTACGAAATTTCCAGGCTAAAATATATTTCAGGCTAGCATTATTATCAAAGTGAATTTTAATTGTTTTTTTTTCGCTGAACTGATCTTTACAAGCCCTATATTGATTGAACAATGTCGTGTGCAATACAAGGTTTCTTAAAAAAAAAGCGTATCTCTATACCGTGCTAATATAATGTAATGTACATGCAAGGGTTTTTCACACAAATACAAGCTCTGATTTTTAGAGGATTTCTCTTTACCTTTAGAGTTCGACCTTATTTATTATACGCTTATATATTTTGTATCCTAAAATGCTTCGATGACCTGTCGACATTTAAGATTGTATAATTACAAATAACTTTCATTTTCTACGTTATATTCCATATGTCTTTTATATTAATTTTATGAAAGCATTTACTTATATTTTGATTGAGTTATGGAAATAAGATTATTTTAATAGAATTGAATTGAAAAGTGTCAAGTTAGAGTCTATGTCTGAAGCTTAGGTGATACAGTTGCTGTGTAAAACAATGTCAAGAACAAAGTCATGTGAATATAATTATATTTGTTGTATTTTCTCTGACAATTGCCCAAACTGAAACCAATCTTCCTCACCTTTAATTCAAGAGCTCTTCAAAAGACACTCAAAGTTATCGAACTTACTTCGATACTCTAGATAGACGCTATCATATCACTGAAACTTCTTAGTTTAGAAAGCGCGGATAATAGGAAAAAAATGTTCCTTCACCAATAAAAGTAAAAACTCATTTGATTCTTAAACGAATCATGCCAAACTAAATCAAATCAAAATTAAAAATTAAGATAACTGCTTCTCAGTGGATCCCTCTATTTCCAGTTTTCCTTAAAAACAAGCGTACATATTTTACAGCAAGTTAATATATTTTCTTTTGTAATTCGAGTAATGATTTGAAAAAAATGCATTATTTTAATGTACATTGATTTCTTTGATTGACTTTTGTCATAATTGCTTATATTGATCGTTCTGTTGGAAAAGAGAATTAAAAACTGAAACTAAAACTGAAAACTAACTTTACACTCTTCAGAAAATTGAATAAACCTAAGAAATATTATCTTCATAATTGGGCAAACCAAAAATAATTGTAACGCACTTACACTTTACAGAAATTGCTGTTGTACTATAAGCGCTAAATAAACCCGGAATATCATTATTACAATGATTACTTTAAACATCGTCACCATAAATATTTATATTATTATTATTATTATTATTGTCATTATTATTATTGTTATCAGACAAGTATGGTGTATACTACAATCTAGTTTTGGAAAATGCAGAATAATTGCAAAAGTCTAAATCTACAAAGTTGTCTTACATTTCGAGGGTATGTACATAAACCCTTTTCCCCCTTTTAATTCGATCAATAATTTGTGCAAAATTTGAACACCTCATCTTCATAACGGATGAGAATGACTTAAATTTTAATCATGAATGAACAAGTTATTCGCTTTTGGGTATAAGGCTTTTAATATAATTATAACCCCAATATTGGCGTAAAGGTGAAGCGTGTAAAGAGTGACGCTATCAAGACAGTTTAGCTATCAATGAATAAAATCCCTTTGAAATTAATTTACAGTTGTGTGCGAATATTTTACCCAAGCAATTTTGAGAGTACATAGAAATTATAATAATAATATTAACAGGCATTTCTATAGGGCCGTCTATCTAGATATTCTTATCCAAGGATCATTTATTATTACCCTGGCTTTAGCCTAGCTGCCATTACAGCGCTCCAGCATTTCAAGGAATTAATTCCTGCCAGGTACCCACTTACCTCACCTGGGTCGAGTGTGGCAAATGAAGATTAATGCCTTGCCAAAGGACATCAGTGCCGTGTCGGGGATCGAACCACGACCTTTGAATTTCAAGTCAAGGGCTTAAACCACTCGACTCGACTCAAATAAGTTCAGTCACGAAATTTCGCGATGACAGATATACACTGTATATATATTTATATTCATATATAAAAAAAACACTTATAACACGATTGCAAATGCTTTCAAGAAATTAACCTGAGGAATATTGTTTATCACCTTTTGAAGCGTGCGAAAATCAAAATGACATGTTACGTAATCAGAAAATTTCTTCTTTAGGCCGACAATACAATAGAATTCTGAAATCGCCCTTAAATTGATTTCTTGAAAGTCTCTGCGACCGTGTTTTATTTAATCATTCATGACACAATAGCAAATTCATATTTACTTGATAAGGAAGTATTTTTTGGTTTGATAGATATACAATTCGAAACCCCGCTGAATACAGAAAGTCATAAAGAATCATTTGAGAAACTATTTACATAAGATATAGTATATAATTTACGTCAAGAGGTATAATTATTTCAAATAGTTGTCTGTACAGCGTCATATAAATCGAATACAACAATATCTATCATTCAAGTTATATGAAAAGGGAACATGTCACAAACATTCACGCAGAATACGATATAGCGAATAAGTAAATATTTAAATGGTTTGGTCTTTTAATGAATTTCCTTATCACATTACGTGCAAATAATTTCATGAGTTCGTCATAAACTTGTAATATCAAATAATGTTTAAACAATTTGATCATGTCATGTGAATAATCTATTCTATTCGGGGTAACTGTTTGCGATCATGTATGTAATACAAATAAAGCGATATGAAAAGTAGCTCAAAATCATAAAATAATATTCTACAGTGAAAGTGATCATTTTCTAACCCTATCTACTTCTATCGTGTTTCCATCTACCAGGACAGTGTCTAGATGAGGGGAGAGGGTACGAATCCCCCCCATTATAACATTTTATCGGTGAATACAGCATTTGTATATGGTGTAGACAAAATCTCAAAAATTAATGACCTCTCTGCTTCTCTTTTTTGAACACCTGATGGCAAATCTGACGAACAATTTTTACCCCTGTTGGGAATTTAAGACTCTGATATTCATTCCGGTTTTCTAAAATGTTCAGCTATTAAATAAATATCTTCTAACATTTCGCCCCCTCCCCTGTCTAATTCAAGTTGGTTTATTGACGCCGCTGCTTTTAGCCAATATTCACCTGTCATTGTATTCAAATTTTTTAGGCTTTTGCTTTTGATCAATGTTCAGCTTATTGATTTTCCACCTGGTCTATTGACATAAAAAATAAACAAAAACAACAAAAGAGATCGAAAATGAGAAATCAGTCACCCCAAAAATATTGTGTGATTTTCGCATCTACGTGTTTTTAGGAAACAAAATAATACAAACAAATGAACCTTTTACTGACAAAATGTGAATCACTTTACTTGAGACCTGACTATACGAGTTTTCAATCAATTTAAGATATATTCATACACGATGCGTTCATTTTACCGTTCACTTATAACTTACACAATTAATGAGTCATAACTTTGAGCATGTTAAGCGGATGCACTGAGCTGAGAACAGAAATGTGAACGGGATACATAGAGTGAGGAATTAATATTTTGAAATTATAAATGACATGAAATTTCAAAACCAATGAGAAGAATTAACGATAAGACATTGGGAAAGACGCATAAACCTTTGATATACCGGTAAATATTTGATTCAATAATGGATGTAGGTAAAGACATAATTTGTACAATGGATGCCTAGTTCACTAGTATAGAGGTAGATACAGCAAAACAGGGACCCAATATTGGTACACACCAACTGATACATTTGCAGAGATAGACTTAATGTGAATAACTGGAAGACTGTAGTTGTCATCTAAAACGTCTACCTACACCAAGTTTATATCTACTAGACTACTACTCTCTTACGCAAGATGAACGCTTTAATATCGACGGCAACAGTTCACGAAACAGACCGACAGTCTACGAGACCGTCGCGACTGTCAACAAGATCGATGGGCCTTCTGAAAAATATCTCGGGGTTCACGAGACCACGTGGATCTCACAGGTCTTCTGACAACTTTACTTAGTGTTCGTCAGACCGGCATAGTCGGTCTCGTGGCCGGGGCTGATGGTCTACTGCAGGGGACATCCCCTTATGAGCATATCGGAACTACTCCCGTCGTTCAATTGAAAACAAATATACATACTAGTAACTTATATATCAAATCAAATCTTAGTGCTATTCTTTTTTTTTACTGGGACTCTAAATTAAACATTCACAATGTCACACGCATTTGATCTCCCATCATGAGCCTTATCTTTAATTTTTCAACTGAACATGCAGAAGAAATTTCCCAAGGCATCATTTTTATAGCAAATAAAATAAGGATATAGATGAAACATGAGAGAATATACACAGTCACAAACGTCCTGATAGTATTCAAAGTTTTAGCAGCACTTTGAAATGAGTACTCCAGCTTTGCAATGTAAAGCCATCAATTAACAACTTTGATTATTGGAGTCCTCTGAGATGAAACCCGATATGAAATCTTTAACAAATCACCGAACGTGTCTATTTGTATACCTATAACCCTTCACCATTCACAATAGCGGAGTTCGTTATTCTCATAGCTGCTTCTTTCTACTAAATGTTCTACTAATATTATGCTCGTTCTCCTCTATCTAGACTGTGCCTTCAACTGTTCAACAAATCTCCTAATTTGCTTCTCCTCGTACTCGTAGCATGACGTTTCCTTTGTAAACAAATCTTCTTCCTTCTCCTCCATTCTGATCTTGTACTTTTTAATGAAACAGCAACAGCAGCAAAACATCCTATTCAAATTTCTAAGTAGAACTCGACGATAGGGGTCGACAACGACATTAGAATATAAGATCTGAAATCTCTTCAGGAAAATGCGCCAAGATGAGTGTACGGATCGTCCAGTATAAGTCCTTCGGTTCGTACCTTACCCGCGGACTCTCGTTCAAGACCGCATCCAGAAAACAATCTACCACAGGCGACGTGTCCGCCGAACCTATTGTCCTTGAGAACCGAACAATGTCAACCATGCTATTGAAGTCCTTTTCGAAGACAGTCTTCTGCTCGTCTTTCATGTTCGCCCAGAGCTCGTCACGGACGCCGTCGATGTTCTCGTTGGTGTAGATGTTGGTGGCGGCCATGAAGTTGCCGGGCTCGACGATGCTGACGCGAACACCGAAGTTTCGGAGCTCGTAGCGCAGGCATTGGGAGAAGGCCTCGACGCCATGTTTGCTGATGGAGTAATGGGCGAAGCCTGCAGTACCCTGGCGTGCCAGCACGCTACCAATGTTCACGATTCGACCTGAAGGGGATGAAGATGGATAAACAACGAGTTTGTAAAATAAAATCCAATAAGAAATTAATACAAATCCTAAACATGGAAGAAACAAATAACCATAGTAAATTAGAATCGGAGTTGATAGATTCGGCACAACACAGTAGACAACAGCCAACGAAACCGACGGCCCACGCGACGGTCCACGATACCAACAGCCCACGAGACTGACAGCCCAAGGGACCGACGATGTCTCGGGGCATGATGACACCTTTTGTGAGGATTATCTAGATCGGCAATGTCAGTCTCGAGAACTGTCAGATTGTTCAGCCATCGGTATCGCAGGTTTTCTGTTTTCAAAAATAGGCTAATTTTAACGAAAACGAAAGTGTACAAAATTGAAAGAAACACGTTTTGGTAAGGGCAAAGTTACAATCTGCCTATAATAATACCTACGAATCATAAGCCTATTTTTACAACAATCTTAACAAAGTAATGCAGTGGCACCATTTGAATCTTGTTATTAAATGTTGTCGTCAAATGTGAAAAAAGGGGCATAGGATTTCAAATTTACAGGTAGAAGTTAAAAATAGTCTTGCAACACCAAAAACAGTTTTTCACATTTGGACAAACACATCCAAATATTTTAAAACATGCCGATAATAATTGTTTATGAATTGTTTTACCTTTAGATTTCCTAACGAGTGGCGTGAAGGCATTTGTCACCCGGACGGTTCCCCATAGATTGACATCAGCGATTCGTTTGAACATATCAACAGTGCACCACTCTGCTTGACCAAAGCAAGAAATTCCGGCATTGTTAGCAACGGCCCATAAACCTGCAGTAAAGAAAAAATATGAAAACTTGTGTGAAAATTATGTTGAATTGTTCAAGATACTCACACAAGAAAAATTCAAAAGAAAAAAAACCCAGAAAGGTTAGTGTAAAAATAAGGCAAGTATATGCAACTGGTCACCCAGTGACGTGACGTAGATGCTTGGGGTGGGGCACTTTTTTGCTCCGATTCGATTGGGAGGCACGTGCACACCCCCGTATCTTCGCAACTGTTACCACCCCACCCCCCCCCCCATCCTCGTCCCGAAACTCCAGGCGACATGACTCAAATCACTTCTGACGTTAAAAGAAACGAGAACATAATACATCATTTAAAATTGCATATTGGTTTTGTTCACAAAGTTCAGCATTATAATAAACCAGCTGAATTCAATTAAATCATAAAAGTTGGAATATAAACTACGGTGATCATTAATGTCTCGAAATATTATCGTTGATCCATCAAAACACGACAACTCTAACACTCCATCGCAATCATTTATTGTACATTTAATCGCATAATCATGATTCCTTCACATAAACGTCGAAGCGATAAATACCTGTCGAAAATATCGTCAATGAAAGTGACAAATGAGCTTTCAAAAATGACGTTTCAAGTTATTATGAGAGTAATAACGTCCCCGAATGATTATATACAAGGAAAATTTGATTGACATTAAGAAATCTTATTATCCCTTTCCTCTCCCCCCCCCTATCCCTTTCTCTCTCTCTCTCTCTCTCTCTCTCTCTCATCTCTTCCACCCTCTCTTCATTACTCTTGTTGAGCCAGAGTCACGTCTTTTCTTCATAGAAAGGGTCATTGCCCGAATGGTCACTTGCGTTTCTGACCTTTGCAGAATCTCTTTAAACGTATGGAGATAGAGTCGATGTTTAAAATATAACACGTCTGCCTACTTTAAAGCAACTTCCTCGACTAGAATGAAGACAGACGAACGGGGACGAGAGGGAAGGGGAGGGGGGGGGGGCTGACCAGGGCTGACCAGAATGTACATTTTCCCTCTGGCAATGAACTACCAAATATATAAATGCAGCATGCGTTACAAATATCAAGTGGTGTAGTTTATTTATGGCAAAGGTAGCATTGTTATGTGAATTGATTTAGATAGATGATTGCATGTCTTCATTGAATTATTTGAGACACATGAAATCACACCCCCTCCCCCACCCACCCCAACCCGCCCCCGAAAAAAAAAACGGTGACAAAACATCTGGCACCAGTTTGAGAAAAATAAGATGAGAGAGAATGCAAGTTGCTTGCGGAATTCGTTTCATGCTCTGCTGTGATGTCGAGCAAGCAAGGCGTGCTTGCAGGCCAGCCGGCGCACGAGGGGCATTGGCTTGGACGGACTCGTTGAGCTTTGGGGTCGATGTCCGAGCGGTTACAGCCCCCTGAACGCGAAGTCAAAGTGAAACAGACGAAACAGGGATGGATACTCTGAAGGAAAACACATTCCGTAGTTACTGACCGAGGATTAGACGCCTTGAGATATTATAATGATATTTCTCGTCCATCGCGACAAGTTGTTGTCATATTAGCCATCCAGGATAAACAAACAGAATTGGTTAAAAGCCTCTTGGATGTGTCATAATTACTTTGGGAGTGATCGTGGCATTGATGTCTGGTGCTTCACCAAGAAGATGATCAGATAATACGCATGCAGTCATACTCAGCCCCAAAGGACAATGACCCCACGAGGTATTCCAACAGAGAATATTTCTGTGCGTGTGTGCGTGGATGTGGTGGAGGTGGTGGGCCCATTATAAACCTCTATTGCCATTCCTTTTTTGAGGGGCGTTCACGAAAATAATTTCAATATAGAAAAAAATCATGGGAAGAAACTAATGTCCAGCCTCCCCCCCCCCCCCAAAAAAAAAAAAAAAAATATTGTTTTTGTTTTTTTTCGTTACAAGATGTCTCTGTTATTTGTCATGAAAGTTTATTTGAGCAAAAGGTTCACTGTCGAGAGACAAATTTATTCACTCGTAAACCCATAGCGGGGATAGACCAAGAGTGCTATCGACCTAGCGGCCATTGACCCGATCTGTTTGGCCGAGGTGTCGTTTACCAGCGACAAAATGGCCGCACGGTGTCTGTTGAAATCTTTGCTTGTTTTGAGTGTAACTGATATATTTGGAGAGTGTATTGATCGCGGTGCACATGCCGAGCGATGTTTGAATACTTGCCGTTTTACGGCTACTTAACATGAAGATATGGATGAAAGATAAGATGAGGTGAGAAAAGGAAATAGAAAGCAAGAGGGATTAGGGTGGTGAAATGAATGAAATATTTTGTAGATGAGTGCTGCCATGAAAATTCAAGTAACTTGTAAATAATAAAGCATATTTTTCTTCTTCTTCTTCCCAACGCCCTCCTTCTCCTCCCCCTCCTCATCTTCACCCTCCCTCTCTCTCTATTTCTCTCTCAATCACTCGTTCTCTCTATATCTTGCTTTTGTTTCTATCTCCCTTTCTCTCTATCCTTTACGTATATAGCCCAGTTCACCCATTTCATAAAATTCGTTGGTGTTATTACAAAAAAAATCATTACTACATCGAAACATCTAATTTCTATGTCTTAATTTCACTCTGAGTAATTCATTTTCCCATTTATCCTACGCCTATCCCTCCCCCCCCCCCCCCCCTCTCTCTCTCTCTCTCTCCACACTATCTACTAAACGCTCCCATTTTTTTATGCTACGTCATTCGATCGTTTCTGATTGTTAAAAAAGAACGAGAAAAAACGCTTTCAGTTAATTTGTGCTTCGCTGCTCCAGTCAAGTGCGCCATCTCGCTATCAAAAATGCTGTGCATAAGCTCCATGGTCATACAGTAGGCCCAGATTCCACAGTTGTCGTATGTCATCGCTGGGGGACAACCATGATACATCCCCCCCCCCCTCGTATTAAGTCAAATATGGCATTGATTTTGCTTGCCAGGGATTTTCCTGAATAATGCCTCTTTCGTTTTATTGGGCGGGCCTCAAAGTAACTCTAAGTAAGGAAAGATCTTGAGGGCTTCTTCTCACCGGTGCTTTCCAAAAGTGCAACGTACAGCATCATAGTATTTTGTAGTGTAATATTGCGTTAAAGCATAAACCGAATGGTAATAATTTTGTCGAATATAATCAAACTATGAAGATAAATGATTAACAGGTAAGTGAGAGCACACCACTGTTCAAAAAGTATTGAACGAATTCTGGAGTAGTGAACTTCAGAAAAAAAATTGTAATTAAAAAATAACCGAAATATACCGATATACATGTATGCCTAGTTTAAAACTAATTGAAATGTGCATTAATTATGCATTCAAACTAATAATGTTGTCGGTACGTTGACAAACACCATTGTGAAAGTACACCGAAAACACATCCTGGCCAGTTTGATTTTTCCCGGTCATTTGCACGGAATATTTGGGCGAGTAATTAGCCTATTTACCGCACCTGCTGTTAATGTCACGTGTCACTTGTCTCACCTGGTCAAGTCAATTTCTGATGTCGTCGGCTAGATCAAAGCCAGAAAGCAGGCCACATCAAGTAAGGTGCGTATAATAACTCAGCGCACAATAGTCTTAAACGCCATACGTTTTGCATTCGGTGGCTTTAAAGTGGCTTTAAACAATAAAGTTATGGACCATTTTATAAATGAATGATACATTTTAAAATTGAAGTATCAATTAAAATTGTAAATTGCAGTTGTGCGTCGGTCAATGGAGGTGCGCACCATATTTGTCTTTATTTAGTTGATTGCCACTGTTTTTCTTACCTTATCTATGTTACTTTTGTATTTTTGCTTTTTCTTCTAATTTAATTCTACGGGTTATAGTCTTCTCTTAATCAGAACACTGTGCGCTTAGAAACATCAGTATTAAGCGCCTAATAAATGTTATGTATTATTATTATTATTATTATTATTATTAACAATTTAGATACAATTGTTCACATATATATTTATATTATTTGTATATGTAGGCCTATATATATTTTTGTTTTGTAGGGTGGATGGGGGGATATGAGGGGGAAATCGACGAACCACATATGAATTATTGTCTAGTTTGAATTCATTAAAAAATAGTCGTGACCATTCGTTCGGAGCCAGAAGGATACAATATCAGATGCATCGGTGGGAAGCCTAGACAGCATGCGACAATTAACGAAAAGTTAACTAGCCGATGATACATTTAACTCTAGTCTGCGATAGCAGACTAATTTTAATAAATAAGGTATCATTTCAGTCATTTTACTAATAAGGGACACGACATGAATCACAAAATAACTAAGATTATTCCAATCCACCTACGCCTTTCGCATAGAGCTTTATATGTCTGCGAGTTGTTTCTAGTTTCTTTGAAGAATCAGCCTGGTAAAAGAGTTTACTTGTGGTCTGACAACCTTTCGGTCAGTCCTCCGAATGCTATGCGCTCATCTGCTGACATTTCCATGACCGAGTTCGAGTATCTCTAAGGAGAGGGGAAGAGAGATGGGATGGAGGGTGGAGTGTTGAGGGGAGGGGCGGAAGTTTAGCGTCAGCAATCTGTAAGGGGGTACAGGAAGAGACGTCGATGTAGGATGGACTTGGGGGGGGGGGTGGTTGTGTGTAGTGTGAGCAGTGTATGTAAGAGGAGAGGGAGAGAGATGAGGAGAAAGAGGGATGATGAAGGAGGGGGCTAGCTTTATACGTAAGTTATCTATTTCAACCTTGCCCCATATTCCCTATTACGGACATTTAATCTTGTCGCGTTATCGGTGGGGCCCGATGCACTGGCGTAGCGTGTGTCCAGCCATGGAGGGGTACTTAGATCATGGAGGAGGGGGGGGGGTCAAAATTTGCTGAGTGGATAACGTTTGGATTGGCATAGCAACCGATTAATAAAGAGGTGTAGTAGGGGTCTAATCATTTTCGACACCCCCACCCCCTCCTCATCTTCCCTTCTCCCCCCCCCCCCCAATTGTTCGTCCTTCGATTGTGTGTCGGATTGGGAGAGGGG